TATACTTATACTTATACTTATACTTATACTTATACTTATACTTATACTTATACTTATACTTATACTTATACTTATCCAACAGGTATTTTTATGAAAGTCTGCACGTTTCTACGTTCACCTTTGAAGTCGGTGCGGCGGTTCACACTTGACAATCTGAAAAAAATAATGAAGTCCTTGGGTTCGAGTTACCTAGCATTGCTTATGGATCATTTGCAAACACTGCTTACCCGTGGTTTCCAAATACATGTGCTTTCTGTCACTGTGCATGGTGTACTCGATGAGTTACGTGAGATATTACAAGCGGGTGATATAGATCGCTGTCTAGGCAATGTTTTAGAAGTGGCTATGAATGATATTTTTGGAGAGGCGGCTGTGGAAAAGAGTATTGATAAGATCACCGCACACACTCCAGAAGCAAAACCAAGTGCCAAAAGCTATCTAATCTTGCATATAGTAGCGCGTAACATACAGGAAACATGTTTACTCGATTTACTCTTACCATTTCGGGATCATCTGACACGTTCACAGTCCAGAAAAGTAACTATGAAAATACAAGATTGTTTTGCCAAAATTGTTGCTGGTTTGGTGGAAAATGCGCACATAACATGCCAGAGTTTACTTTATTTTGTTTATGGTACAATATCGGAAAGCATAACCGACTTATTGCCGGGCACACAGAAACGAGTGCTTAGTGATCAAGAGAAGGAGAAAATGCGACGAGCGCGCCCTGATTGCTATATCATACAACCAGCGCCACGTACAAGATCTGGCGCTGTTAATAAAATTGTTAAATCGAATGCCCAAGCAAATGCGCACATATTGATCGAATTCGGTTTGGAAATGTTGTACATTGTCCTAAAGCGTAAGAAGCTTATGTCGGTGAATTATCAGCCATTTTTGCATCCTTTACTACCGCTCCTTAGAGATTCGCTGAAAAGCACACATATACGCTGCACAACATTTGCGCTGAAATGTTTTGCTTCGATTTGGAATGAGGAATATGAACTGCCTGCGTTACAGGAACACATAACAGATATTGTGACACGCATGTTCGAAATACTAAAGAATTTTTCCACCTTTGGTGCCACTAAACAAGAAGATAACTTTCAACTGGTAAAGTCATCCTTTAAAGCAATCGTCGCACTTTTGCGGAAATATACTGAATATGAGTTGACTGAAGAGCAAATCACGCAGCTGGTGCTTTATATCGAGCAAGATTTGTATGAAGGTGAAAACCAAGCTATGTGCTTACCACTGCTAAAAGCATTGGTTACGCGTAAGGTGGACTCAAAGGCTTTACATGAATTGATGAAAAAGATCGGCGATCTATCCATTGTTTCTCAATCGGATTTCGTGCGTAATGAAACGCGCGCAATACTTTTCATCTACCTTATGGAATATAAGCTTAAACACCGTGTGGATCAGGTTATAAAATTCATGTCGGCACAACTGTGTTATTCCCTGCCAACTGGACGGCAATCAGTGATTAAGTTCTTTCACACTGTCATACAAAAATTTCCACATAAGATTCTTGCAAAACGTGCCGAGTTTTTGTTTCTAACGTTGGGTTTACGTTTGGTCAACGATGATGAACCTGATTGTCGTAGAGCAGTCGCTGAATGCATTGAGTTATTAATAAACCGTTTGGATAAAGTCAATCGTCAATTGCTATTTGATATTATTTTATTATTAATGGAATCTAATGATAAAGCCACGACAAGGGAAATGGGCGCTTGTTTATGTTCACGTTTTGTCAATGTCGAAAAGCAATCCTTTTCCCCGCGTCTAAAGACAATATTGTCCTCAATACAAGCACGTATCACCCTAAACAATCCAAATGCGCCGGGTAGATTTGTACGTGCCCCCGGTGTCTTAGGTGTTGATGTGCATGCGGAAGATGTGATGCAAAACCATAAAAATAAAGGACGACGTCGTGAGTTATATGAGAAGATGGATCATTTAATTGGTAATGAAGAAGCACTTGCTGAGACAGTTGAGGAAAAGCAGCGAGCAATCGATCATGAAGTTATACAAATGCAATATTGTCTGCTGAAGATATTCGATTACTGCGGTCAAACATGTTTCTCCAATGAAGAACTAGTAAATATCGTCGATGAACTCGCCTATGAGTCACAACGTCTACTTGCACATGAACACTCCCTCGTGCGCTGCAATGCAGCCAAAATACTCACGCATGTACTGGGAAACTATGATTTCGATTTAGTTGCGCAAATTATTAATAAAGAAAAAACTTTGGAAAGCATAAACCCACAGTCAGCGAAGCTCAATTACATTTACATAAATCCCGAATTGGATATAAAGTCTTTGACTCTGGATCTATGTGCGCAAATTACACCAGGGGATACTGCGCAGGAGATGATAGATGAGATAGTGAAGATATTTCTCTACATAGGCAATATGTTGCGAAATGTATCGCTGGCGAATGTTGAGATCAAAATAAATTTGCATTGGTTTGCACGTAGGATACGTTTTCTGATTAATAAGGAAGTAGCTAGAGCACCGCACTCCACACAAATCGTGAGTATAATAAACTATAATTTTCTATTAACTATTTTTTATTTTAATGTCTCCTTTTATTACATTAACAGCGTACAGCACTATTCACTCTTATCGAAGGATTTATCACGTTGCTGAGCGTTGAGACCATAGAGATTTTGCTGCCCACACTTTTGCCTACACTTGTGCGTGAAATGTCAGAGGATGACGACAGTGTAGATCTGAAGCTGAGGCAATTAGCTTTGCATGTTGGCAGTCGACTACGTAAGCGTATTGGCTCTGATCTCTATGATAAGTTGCGTACAAATGTACAAACTGAACTTATGATGCGCCGAGCTGAACGTAAGAAGGTTATAGCTCAAGAGAAGATACACGATCCAGTACGTGCCGCAAAACGTAAAGTCGGCATACAGGAACGTAAGAAGGCCGCTAAAAAACGAAAAACAGAACTGATGCGCGGTAAAGTGGAAGACGTTAAACAGAAACTGAAGAAACGAAAACGTAAAGCCGAAGATGATTTATTCTAGCAAAGTGAAGTGATTAACTTAAATGCATGATTATAATTAAGTACATATTAAGAGGATTAAGAGTGCTTAAGCTGAAGATGATTTGTTCTAGCAAGTGGAGAGATTATTTTAAATGCATGATTATTATAAAGTAAATATTAAGAGCATTAAGATTTAGTATTGTAAAAACCTTGCATTGCCAAAATGTAAATCTTTTACTTAAAAGCATAAAAACATCTTTGATTTAAACATTTGGGTGGTATGCTAGGAATAAGATTAATATATTATATCCTTGGTGCATAAAGCCGCCACTCCAATCTATCTATAATTTTTAATACATAATTTTTAGTATAAAATGGTATGAAATATAGTGAGTAGCGTAAAATAGAGTAATAAGTATAATTTATAGTAAGTAGTATAAAATATATAGTATATAATTAATTGTATATAATAAATAGTATATAATATGTGGTAACTATATATATATATATATAGTATATATATATTTGTAAATACTGATATCGATCTTGAATTGTCATAATCAAAAATATGTAAAAAAGACACTAATTTTATTTACATATTTTTTAATATTTAATTTATAATAATATACCTAAAACAAAACCGACCTAAAACCCTATTTTATATATATATATATGTAAATTTTTGTAAATACTAAAATCGATCTTGGATTGTCATAATCAAAAATATGTAAATAAAAACACTAATTTTATTTACATATTTTTTTATATATTATTTAAAATAATAAGACCGAACTAAAACCCCGCAAAAAACAAATTTATATAATATCTATATATTATAATAATATAATAATTTTATTTATATAATATAATAGGTATTTATAAATATTTTTATATTTTTTTAAATAGGTATTTATATAAATATATATATGTAAAAATAAAAAATGTATATATATAATTTATAATCTTAACAGATTTAACTTAAGGATAGTAGTAATAGTAGTATTTCAGCTTTATTTTACTTCATTTTATATATGTTTTATTACACAGAAATTTATAACAATTATATTATATATATAAAGCTTACAGCTACAGCATTTTCGCCGTCTGCCGGAACTTAAGAATTTTTTGTATGTATATTTATATTGCATATATAAACATGTCTACATATATTAAACTTAATACAGTTTAATAATTTTAACGATTTAGTTTAAAAATTATTACCATTAGTTTCTTAATTTTAAGTTTAAAAATATTTCGTTGTCAAAAAAAAACTTAGTTGTACTACTATGTAGTGATTTATATGTTTTTAAAATTAGATAAGATATAAAATTTTTATAAATGCATAAAAATAAAAAAAAATGTTAATATTTTATTAAAATTTTATTTAAATTTAAACTGAAAAAAAATTTTTTTATTGATTTAAATTGAAGCAAAAAAATATTTTATTAAATTTAAATTGAATATTAAAACAGATATAAAATTTTTATAAATGCATAAAAATAAAATATATTTATATAGTTAAATTGAAAATAAAAATATTTTTTAGTACAATTAAATTGCATGAAAAATATAAATATATAAACAAATATAAATTTATAAATTGAAAAAAATATAAAATAAATAATAAATATATAAATTCTATTAAAGCAATTGAAATAATTATATTCACAAATGATTTATTTTATAGTCTTTATAAACTAAAAATAACAAAATAAAACAAAATATTTTTACATAAAACTATTTTTAATCCATTGGAATTTTTTGACCGAACATAGATCTGTTTTGCATATTGCCAATTATTTGTCGCTAGAGTAGTCTTCAGAAATATTCGTCGGTAAAATTTTTCGTATATCATTTTTGGAGTGCAGGTGCTAGGTATTGAGCCCTGCCAAATTTCAAAGACCTGCGTGTTAACATTCTAAGTCAATGCCACACTTGAATTCCATTGTTCAATGTTTGGAGTTTTATTTTTTTGTAGTTTTTCTGAAATAACAAAAACATTTGCTTCACTACAATTAGAAAAAAAAAACGTATAAACTGCAGCTATATAAATAAATGTTTAATATAAAACATGAGGTAAAAATTCCCTTCAAAGAGTTTATAAACCACATCTATATAAATAAATGTTTAATATAAAACATGAGGTAAAAATTCCCGTCGATCTGTTTCTGGAATAATTGGAAGCAGTTGTTAGAAAGGACGATCAGCTCTTAAAAGTATATCCGGCCATCGCACGGAACTGCCACGAATTTCGAAATGAAATCTCATTCATTTACCGTCGGAACGATATTAAAAATGGTATCTCAGAAACTCTGATATACTAGAAGTCTTTCTATTGACATCATCAAGAAATGCAACAAGATTACAGTGTTTAAGATTAGAGTGTTCTATTAAATAAATAGGCATCCTAAAAATTCTTTAGCTCTGCTAAGAAGAAATCAAGTAACGAATATATGCTGAAAACGATGCTGTCATACTTTAAATATAAAAAAAGGTTTAAAAAAAAAGAGGTGGATTGTCGCATTGTTTCAGTGTAGATCATATGTAGCGTACCAAGTGGAGCACGTAAATAAGCTAGGTGTTACCAACCACATTAATCCAATAGTTTATCGGATGCACTCATTCTTCTACTGTCTCTAATTCTTTCCAGGTTTGCATTTTCTTAATCCTTGAAAACTACATGTGGCATATTTAGTTTACCTTTAATTTCACTTTTTATGTTTAATTTAAAGTAATTAGCACAGTTTCGGATGTTCTTAATCTTTAAAAATAACCTGTCACATTTTTCCTTTTTCTATTTTCTCAGATAAATTTACGGAATTGGTATTTTGGACACACGTTTATATGTCCAAAAAATGATGCTTTTCAGCAATCATTTAACTTGGTAAATTAAAAAGATACTTTTGACAATCGTCCATTGTCTGTTTGACAATGTCGAATTATTAGGCATTTCTCTGGCTTGTTTAGCAAAATTGGACTATTTGTTATTATATATAATTTATTTTTAGCGGGTTTTAAGTCGTTTATTTAACGAATTGAAAATTAAATTAAATTTAATATAATTTTTAGTCAGTTATGACGAAAAAAAACCATGTTTCTTAATAGTAACTATTGATTTAATAAAGAGGTATTTTGAGAGCTCTGAGTCAGTTGGATAATTAGCACTGACTCTGAGCTTTAAATCTGGTAGGTCACGAGCTCAACCCTTGGCACTTGCAGTCTCATAAAATTATTTACGAATAATTAAATTAAAAAAGATTCACTTATAAGTTTTTTGTTGAGACTCACAGAAGCCTTTATATTTAATTATTAGTTTTAAATAATACTTTTTTTTTGTGATTTTGTGAAAATCAAAAACAAAAAGATTTAAGCAAAATTTTTTTATTGAAATTCATAAAAGCCTTAATATTTATTATTTAGTTTTAATAATTTTGAATAACACTTTTTTAAACAAATTTAAAATCATATTTTATAAATGTGGAAAAAATCTTAGCAACTAATATTGAAATATTAGTTCTTATATTAGAATTAATATTAGTAATATTATTAATGTAATATTAATATATATATATTGTTTAAATATGTATATTTTTTTTTTAATAAAAAAAATGACATATTTTTTAATTATAGTTATATATAGTCATTACATTAAACAGTCATTAACTTTCTTTATTTATTATATATGTAAATTAATATAAATGTAATGATAAAAATATATTAAAAAATATGTTAACTGTTTAAATATGTATATTTTTTATATATTTTAAAAAAATTAAATGTTTTTTAATTATATTTATATATAGTCATTACATTAAATAGACATTAATTTCCTTTATTTATAATATATGTAAATTAAAATAAACGTAATGGTAAAAATATAAAATAAAAAACCAAAAAAAATGTTTACTCAAGCATTTATTAGCCGCTGTATTTATTTGTTATTGTTTACATGAAATGTCAAAAAAATGCATTGCAGCAAAGAGGTGATGTCACTGAGAATAATTCAGCAGCTGCAGAGTATACAAAAATCTCTTAAACGTTTTTCCCAGTAAATTAAAATTTGTTGTGCAACAAAATTCTTAATAATAAGTATGAATAAACTTGAAAATATATTTAAATAAAATAAATAAAAATTATTAAAATTCTGCGAAATAATATCCTGAAATCATTTTAAAGAATTTTTATTATTTTCAAATGAGAGCATAAATAGTTTTTTGTTTTTTTTTTTGGTTTTGTGATTAATAGTTGTCAGTTGAGTTTCTTTTGCGTGCTTGTGAAATGTTCGTCTCATTTTGTATAGAACAGCAGAGGCGAAGTGTTGTGTTCCTGTAATTGTTGTTGGGCAAATTAATAAAAAAATTTAAAAAAAATATATTAAAAATAGATTGAATTAGTGTGCAATCTAAGATTAATCACAATTCTTTGATAATTTAAAGCAATTAAATAGTTTACAATTGTTGTTATTGTTGTTGATTACAGGGAAAATAGCAAAAAAATAACAATGAAAATGATGTTCAAATAAAGGAAATAAATTATGTTTATTAGTTCAGTGTCGGAAAATGTAGTTATGTTCATTGGCAACTAATAAATTTTTTCAACTAAATTTAAATAAATTACAATAAAAAGTGAAAGTTTATTAGATATTGTTTGATAGTTTATATGCATATGCAACAAAATTTTAAGTGAAAATTTTTTGTTTAATGAAATGCATCTGGAAAACCAGGTGAGTGCTGTTCGCATCACAACAAAGAGAAATTTTTTTCATTTACACTAGACTACAAAACTATAAAATTTTTTATGAGATTTACTGAAGCGAAAAAATTTATTTCCTTAAAATACATATATATAAAAAATATATATATATATCATTATTAACACCGGTTATTACTACCAACCACTTACCAATTAAAATCTAATTTGTTTAAAAAATTTTATAAAAAAAAAAATATTAATTTTACTTCCATATAATTAACTTTTTTTTTTATTAAAGTTCATATCATTACTCAAGCGTTTTTTGTTGTTATGGTAAATGCATGCTATCATATATTAAAGATTGATGCGATTTTCGTATGCCTTAAATACTTATTAGGTGATATATTAAGTTTATCGGAAGATGACAGTATTGCACCCTATGCCACTCCAGTATGAACCCCACAACTTTGCAATACGCAATAGAATAATGCGATAGAAAACAATCGGCCATAGTATGTAGTATATTGCCCATCTTCAAGTTTTCTGGACATATGAAGTTCCTGTTAAAGAAATATAAATAGCTTCTGTCAAACAATATCTACTTGTGTGCCAATGGCAACATGTTTTATAGAGCCCTTACTCCAAGATGCTTACGTCGTTTCCTTTCTTCATATCATATAAAAATCTATATCTATTGTAATGGATTCAACATCAGTGAAATCAAATATAAACTACTAATTGTGTGTCACAATTCACAATGGCAAAATGTTTTGTAGAGCCCTCACTCCTAGATGTTTACTTCGTTTCCTTTCTTCATGTTATATAAAAATCTATATTTATACCTATTGTAATGGAGTTAATATCAGTAAAGTCGAATATAAACTACTAATTGTGTGTCACAATTCACAATGGCAACATGTTTTGTAGAGCCCTCACTTCAAGATGTTTACGTCGATTTTTTTCTTCATATCATAAATGCATCTACATCTATTGCAATAGACCCAACATTAGTGAGTGCAAAAACAAACGTGTATTAAAAATCCTTCACAAAAAAGATGTAGTTTCGTCTTCGAGACCACAGTTGCACGATAATAAGGTTTTCAACAGAGGGGCTTGCATATAGCTTAAGCCCCTCTTCTGGCTGTGTGCCTGTTAGCAATGTTAGTAAATTTTGATATATGCTGTATCTTAAGATAGTTGGCGCTTAATATTTGTAAAATAAATTCGAGAAGTGCCATATATGGTTTATATCAAACTGAAGACATTTCGTACCGATCACTGTATCTAGGTTTTGTGTTTGTAAATACCTATAGTAGACACTTGCTATAATGTAGAATATAATATCAGAGACCTTCGTTACAACATTTTGTTATTTATAGATAATAGTAATAATTAATAATTAATTTATTTATTTCTATTTGAGCCAGTGCAGTTGAACACTTTAATTCTTTCTTTCTTTCTTATTTTTAAAACCCCTCTTTACACCTTGACTGGATTATTATTTATCACTTCATCAGACTAAGCAATAATTGACCTCAGATCTGCATACCTTCCCGAGGAGCCTGTAACCATTCTGAGATTTGATAACGCGGTGTTGGTAAGTCTGTCAGTTTTCCCAAATAATTTCAGGGCTCTATCCTTTATGTATTTTTTGATAGGATCAATCTTGAGGTCCCTGAGGATGTCATTCGTCCTAATGTACCATGGTACCTTGAAAAGTCTTCTCAGAGCCTGGCTTTATGCAATTTCTAGCTGGCGAATAGTAGTGTTTGAAGCTTGCTAAACGCTATACATTCATATAGAAGTGACGGAGAAATAATTAATAATAATAATTAATCATATAATAGATTTTTTGTATGTTTCTTATTTCCACGTACCATATATGATCGTGGATATATGATGAAATGTTCGCTATAGCGAGTATTCCTTAAAGCGAGAGTCTACTGTTTATTGCTTTAATTATATTATCAGTAAATATTGGTTTGTGTTAAGTTATCTATTAATCTTAAAATTTAAAGTTTTTTTGCAACAATTTTTAATTCTAACTAGATTATCTTTACTTTTTTAAAGCAGGTGTTCCGTTACGATTTCCGCACTTGACTCTTTACCGTTGCAAATATAATGAAAAACGGTTACCATTTTTGAGAAATGGTTTAGAGTGTGACCCATGTATCTACCTTTATATAAGCAGACTAGTTGTTAATCAAAAAAAAGCTAATCGCTTTTTTAATTTAATTTTATACTAATTAAAATTATAATAGAATACTAGTTACTAGTTAATATTAAGTTTGAATAAGTGAATTGCATATTTATTGATTATAAATTATATTATTGTTATAAAATTAATTAAAACAAAGTTTTAATTAGAACTAAATTTATTTAAATAATTACTATATGCTTACTAAGCAAAAGATACTTAGTAAGATACTTAGATACTTAGTAAAAGATACTTAGATAGCTCCATATATAATCAGCGATTAGTTTGTTTTACTCGTTAGAGGTATTCACTTCATAGCCTCGTCGGATGAAGGATAAATACTAATGTATTTTTATTAGAACCATATTTGAAGTAGTGTATATAATTTTTGGCTTATACATTTTTGTGTATTATATTATTATGTACTATTATAATTAACTAAAATTATTAATTAAAAAATTATAATAATTTTTTTTTGATATAATAACTTATTTAATTTTTTATCTTTCAGGTTTTTCAATAACCTCAATGTAGTTAAAAGTTTACGGTCAAGTTGTGCATGGCAACGACTATTTAAACATAAAAGCCCACAATTCCAGAACATTGACAAGCCAATAATAAGAAGGAAATTAAGTGACTTCAAGGATTCATCCAACAGAAGCTTTGCTACGATTGTGAATTATAATAAGATGACTTCCGCTAATGATGCTGACAACGATACCCACAACGACAGAAAAGTTTCAACCAATTCATTCGACGATAATACATTGACGTCATCCTCACAAGTAACACAACCAACACTTTTGCCATTGTATGAAAAATTATTGGAGCAGTGTCAGGAGCAGGCAGTATTTTTTCAGGATGATAGCACCGAACGAGGACAACGTTTATATGCAGCATTTGTTGCTTGGCAAGATTTTATACGTTCAGCCAATAAGTTGGTTTTACAAATTGAAGAATTTGCGCATAAATATGACTTTGATGAGAATACTCCGGGTAATGGTTACCGTAGTTTCGTCTCGGTAACTAATGCTTGCGTAGTACACGGTCAAGAGATTTGTAAAAATCTGGTAACAGCACGTTCCACGGTATTCTTTCGTAAAAAGTTTTATATGAAAGAAGTAGAGTCCTGTTCACAACTCCTCTCGTCCTTATGCACTTGTCTACAGTATTTGCTTATAATGCACGAATGGTCGCACGAAACAACAGATCTTTTTGCGAATGGTGAACACTCAGCCGAGGAACTATTCGAAATGGGAGACACAATAAATCAGTATTGTTTTTATGGACGCTGTTTAGGTTTCCAATACGGTGATTCGATACGTGGAGTTTTACGCTTTATATCGATTGGCATGGCTGGATTTTCCGAATCATTTTATTCAGAAGATGCCGATGGTGCAATAGCAAAGACCACACGTAGCATTTGGACCGGTGGCAAGTATTTTCTTAATCCAGAACTGCGTGCACGTCGTATTGTGAATATATCACAAAATGCAAAAATCGAATTTTGTAAATCCTTTTGGTTTCTTGCCGAATCAGAATTAATGCATATGATACCGAGCATTGTTGGTAGTTCCATTAAAGTTAATCGCATGATACAAATTCCAGCTGAGCCATTGCAATTACCAAGGTAAGCTCTAATTTATCAATTTTTTCAATTTTTTTATAACATTTTAATTAATTGACATTTACATTTTTTTTTCAGGGTGCAATCGAATTCTCCAACGACTGATGTTAATCAAAATAGTTCAAAATTTGTTGATATACCAGTGCCTTCATCCCATTTAGGACCAGGTTTACCAGTTTCTGTACGTTTATTAAGCTACTCACGTCGTGAAGGAATGGTAGGTGAGGGTGGACGTTATCGTGGTTGGCGAAAATTACCACCACGTAGCCCTAGCATACTATTTCATTGTCATGGAGGTGGTTTCGTTGCGCAATCGTCGAAATCACACGAATTATATTTACGTGACTGGGCAGTCGCTATTGATGCACCTATCTTGTCGATCGATTATAGTCTTGCACCAGAGGCTCCATTTCCACGTGCATTGGAGGAAGTTTTTTATGCGTATTGCTGGATGTTGAAAAATGCCGAGCATCTCGGTACCACCGCTGAACGTGTAGTGTTGGCTGGTGACTCTGCCGGTGCAAATCTCTCTATTGGAGTTGCACTCAAATGTATTGAAATGGGCGTACGTATACCAGATGGTATATTCTTAGCATATTGTCCAACACTCGTGAGTTTCATACCAAGTCCTGCACGTCTACTATGTCTTATGGACCCATTACTACCATTTGGTTTCATGATGCGTTGTTTACGTGCATACGCATCGCCTGCTAGAGAAACGTTAAATGTAAATGCTAAACATGTGGAAGAAGCAGCAGAAGTGCGAAACGCTGTAGGAAATGAACAACATTTTACGCTTAATTTGGATAAGTCAATAAGTGCTGCATCAAGTAGACGTGCTTCGAACGCTAAAAGCCCGTGTTCATCATTAGCAGAAAATTCTAAATGGGATCAAATTAAAGTAATTTATCAATTTTTTTTTTTTGCTAAGCCTAAATAAATGGCATTAATTACTTTCAGTACAAAGAACCAAAAAATGCTACAGTATTCAATGGTTTATCTGATGAAGTTGAGACTGAGGACAGCAGTGATACTTTTGCCAGTGCATCATATTATAGTCAAACGGTTGAGCACACCGATCTGCCGTCCGATGAAGAAGATAACAGTTCTTGCGTTTCATTCGAAGACGATTCACAACCCATAGAACATTATCCAATCGAGATATCGGCGAATATGCAAAAAAATTCAGATTCCGAGCAGTATATTGATCGGTTTCTTGATAAATATTTGATAGATACTAATACAATTGAGGCTAAAGAAGATGAAACATCTTCAAATAATGATAAAGCTAAAGTAAATGGTCTTAATCCTACTTTTGCTAAAACTCCTTCTGAAGATAATTTAATTATTGAAACTGGCAAAGAAATGATTGCCTTCGATTCGCTACAAGGCTGTTTAAATAATGCCGTTAATAGTATTTCATCCACACTTTATCGTTATACGCAATCGAGTGAGATACGCAGTGGTTTAAGTCCAAGTCATCATCGTATCAAGGATTTACGTAATATGGATGCTTTAATTGCTCGTAGTCCAAGCGCGGAGTTTCAATTTCGAGTGCCAAAGGATCCATTTTTATCACCTTATTGGGCTAGTGATGAATGGCTGTCAAAAATGCCACAAACTAAGATTTTGGTTAGTAAATGAATCAATATAAATATTTAAAATAATTGTATTAAATGTTGATTTTATTTTAAAATTTTTATTACAGACTTTGGACATGGATCCATGTTTAGATGATTGTGTGATGTTTGCGCGAAAACTGAAAAATTTAAATCGTCCAGTTACTTTAGAAATTCTTAAAGGCTTGCCGCATGGATTCCTCAATTTTACAATGGTACTTAAATTATGATTTTTTTATTGTTTAATTTTACCTTTAAAAAAGTTTCGAATAGATGCAATGACATATATTTATTCATTGGGTTTTTTGAAATTAAAAATGTGTAGTAAAGCACACTAAGTAATATAAGACAAGTTAATAGATTGGTTATATTAAGAAAATTTTTATTTAATAACAAAAAATGAACCTTTATCGTTGCTATATAGGCGATTCTTTCAGATTTTTAAGAAAACTGAAATTAAAATCAAAAACTGATATGTTTCAAATTAAAAATATTTAACCTGGAACCCACCAATTCAAATATGTCCTGTTTTGTTCCCTTGTTAAGATTTTGAAGTGATGAAAAATTCTCTATTCCAGCGCTTTTGTATGATATAAGTTTTGTCCAATATAGACCAGGTGATACGTGATCTAACATGAAATCTTATATATCCAGGATTTTCAGTTTACATGACAGTTTAGTCATTACGAGAGGAATACCGATATCAATGTAGAAATATGTCTACTTTAGCAAGTTCATCTGCTTTACATTTGCCCGAGATGTCTAATTCGACAGAACTTATAGATAGAAATCCGAACTACAAGAGAAGTACCTGTAATGCCTAGTAATGATTTAATTGCAGTTAGGCTGTCCGAGAAAATTACGATATTCGTGTCAGCAGACATATAAGTCAAGCATAATGAATTCTTATAACCTCTGCCAGAAAAACACTATAATGGTTAGGCAGATCCAATTTATTAAAAAACATACCAATCCTTATTCTATTGCTTAGTTTGGAACCCGTTTTTCAGTTGTGTTAGCAGAGACTATTAACTCTTGATGCCAGTAATTTCTACTTGGTATAAGACAGCCGCACTCCTAAACGAACCACCCTTCGACATTGAGTACTCTGATTTTGAGTAATATTCCAACAAATTTTTCTATATTTAACCGTCTATCTCAAAATTCTCAAAAAAATGCATTTTATGATTCATGGCATGGGTTATTAAAGGCGCTCTCGATATTAACAAAATAGGTGTATATTCCTTCAAAGTAAAGATCTTCCACAATTTTGAGTTTAATACATGAAGTGCTGTCTACACAGACTTGGTTTACATTTAGGCATTCTTTGATGTTGAGAGAAGTGTTGGATTAATGGTATGCCTCATATGTAGATCAATAACCACAAAAGTTGCAGAACTTTTAAGAGAAAAGAGACTAGGTTGTTTGGTCTGTAATCGGCAGATACCATGAAAGGAATTACAAGACGAATACATTTGTTAGGATGTGAATGGGTAATGGTTGAGTGAGAGTGGAGGAGTTGTATTTAAATTTAATTCAACTACGGTCGTGGATTTCGAATAGAGTACTTTGTGGGTTAATATTACGCTTGCGATTCTCCAACAATTGGAGATATATAACAATTTAAGGCAAGCTCAACAGCAAGGGTAAAATAAAGCGATCGCCCTGTTGTATAAGAAAATATATTAACTGTACGGTCAGTCAAAATTTTAAATGAAAATAAAAATTTTGTTGTACTTCACTACTGTTCAGGAACATTTTAATTTAAAAAAAATAAAAGGCAAAAACCTTATATTGAGCTGATTTCTTTCTTCAATATTAATAGAGTTTTTAGTTAATAAACTATTGAAATCTGTTATATAAAGAAATAAAAACTGATTAATCATTTTAATCATTTTAATCATTTTATAATATTATATTATAGTTCTCCAATGAAGCGATGGAAGGCTCTAAACATTGTATCAATTGCTTGAAAGAACTGCTTAAACTACCTGATTGAAGAATATCAACCAGTACAACAACAAAATTATAAATTGACAAGTTTAATATATTCGAATAAATAAAACGTTTATATACACACATAGTATTTACACTGATTTATAAGAATAAGAAAAAAATTAAAGTATATACACATAATGTATTTCATATTGGTTGGTTAATTAATTCAAGGAATTATTTGACCATTGCAAAAATAATATTTATGTAATTGTATATATAAAATATACAACTTATTTTACTGGCACAAATATTTACTACAATTGTATCTATATTTTTAAAAGCCTTATTTATCGTTAATATATCCTAACTATAAGATACTCATATTACATCCTTATTTATTTATATTTAGGTATAATTAAAAATAATTTTAATTTATTTATTTTATATAATTAATTTAAGTTAACTCTGCACAATTTTAACAGAATTTACTGCTTAGGATTGTAATTTATTTGTATTAAAAATATAATCGTATTAAAAGTGTAATTACGAATACACCTACTGCGAATGCATATATAACATATGGTATTATCATTATTAAAACGCGACAATTATTATTTAAGGATTCACATAACAATAAAGTCAACGTAATTATATTCGTTAATATTTTTAACACTCGAATGAATAATGTTAAAAAATTAAATTTATTATACAAAAACTTCTTAAATCAAAATGTTTTTAAATCATTCGGTAAAAGAAAAAATGAGTATTTACACAGTCTATTAGATTACTTAAGTTAAATACATAAAGCGAAGCTTTAACCAATAAATTTACATACTATTTATATTATTACAACAACGATTTTGTAACAATTTTAATATATTACAAATCAAGGCAGCTATACTAAAAGTTGGTTTATTATTGAAAAACTAATAATGATTTTATAAGTTTTAAGACTTTATACGTGCTGTAATCTCATCTATTTAATTGAATATTCATTTATAAATACGATATATTAAATCAAAAATTATTTCATAGAAATAAATTAATATATAACAAATGTATTTTTATATAAACTACCGCTAGTTGGTCAATTTGTTTAAATGCTTTTTTTATTTTTTTTTGTTTTTTTTTTCTTATATATTAAAAATATATAGCAATTTATATTAAAATAAAATATTGTATTCTAAAAATTATTGACAATTTTTTATGATCTAAAATTGTTTAGCAATTAAAATTAAAATTTTCTTTGTTATTATTAATAATTTACTTGACAATTATTTAACAATTTATTTTAAAACATTTCCAATTCTATGAAAAATGTTGACAATTCATATTTAAATTTACTTATATTCTAAAAATAATTAATAATTTGTATTAAAGTTTTCTTCATATTTTAACAATAATTAGCAAATAATATTAAATTTTTTATTATATTCAAAAAATTATCTATATTAAAATTTTCTCTATATTTGAAAAACTTTTAGTATTTTAAATTAAAAAATCATATATATCTTTTTATTCTAAAAATTATTTCAAATTTATATTTTTTTTTTTGTGATCTGTTAGCTGTTATAAAACTGTTAGCAATCAATATTAAGATTTTTTTTTATATTTTATGAGTATTAAGAATTTATTTCAAAACTTTTCTTATATTCTAAAAATTAATATCAATTGTATTAACATTTTCCTTAAAATTTTTCAAAAATTATTGTACATTTATATTAATAACAATTTGAATTTCAATACATTCTAACAATTATTAACCATTTAATTAAAATCTTACTTACATTTGAAGATTTTTTTATTTATTTCATATTTAATTATTATTTTAATATTATTTTATTGATATTTATTTTATTGGTGTTTATTTTATTGGTATTTATTTTATTAGTATTTATTTTATTATTATTTATTTTATTATTATTTATTTGACTATTATTTATTTTATTATTTAATTATTTTTTAAATATTTAATATTATCATTACATACATATTTTTTATTTAAAATTTTTTTATTTATTTCATATTTAATTATTATAATATTATTTTATTATTATTTTATTAATTTATTATTATTTAATTATTTTTTAGTTATTTAATATTATCATTACATACACATCACAATTCCATATATATCGTACACTATTATTTTATACTGTATACTATTATATGCTCTGCATACTATCGATATTATTTATTTATTATTTGAGCTTGGATTTTTAAATAAACTAATTAAGAAATTAATACTGATTATTGTGTTATGAATTTATATTTTCCTATCAAATATTGTGTGTACAAATAATTATTCATATCTGTGGTTTTAAGCAAACATCGCTTTTTGTGTTATTAATTATTTATTATATTCCTTAATTTTCTAAGTATTTAAATAGAATATTTATTTATTACACAATGTTTTTTATTTAAAATTTTTAAATATATACATACATTTTATATTTTATTTATAAAAAAAATTGTTTGTTTTAAATTATTTATTTAAATTGTAAACTCCATAATTTTATTATATTTATTTATTTATTCTAAGCAAAACAATTTGTATAACGTTTTGGTGTTTTTACTGAATAAAATAATATTATAGTTAAAACAAGTGTTTCATTAATTATTGTAAATTATTTAACAATTTTTTAGTTATAAATAATTAAAATTTAAAAGTATAAGCTCCTGAAATATCAAATTAAATAAAATAATTGACAAAATTCCATACACTTCACATATGTAGACAGTCGTATGTTGATGTTTTTCCGAGTTAGTGCAACTGGGTACTTTTATTCTTTCTTAGCTGGAGGGTTTCCACAGAGTCCCTCCCTTCTCTTGACTAATTTATGAATTCCTTACAAGCTTCGCTGATTATTCAATGACTGATCTAAGATCTGCATACCGCCCCGTATACCTAGTGACTGTTCTGAGAGTTCTGCTCTCTGTTCCTTATGTATTTTTGGACCGAGTCTATTTTGAGGTCTCTTAGCATGTCATGTAAGATGTCATGTATCATGGCACTTTGAAGAGTTTTCAGAGAGCTTGACTTTGAGCAACTTTTAGCTTCTGGATACAATTATATTATTGCTAAATGATCCATATTTTAAAAAGGCAAAACTTAAACTTAACATATAATGTCGGGAATAACAGTTCATTAGGACATCACGTTTTGTTATCAAAAATCGTGAACGATTCATATTTCAAAATAGCAACTCTTAAACTTAACTTATAATGTCTGGAATAACAGTTGGTTTCGACATACCATATGGCACTGAAACGGTGCTGCTATACCTAAAATGGATGCCACTTATATATGTCCGCGGATACCGTGAATGGAATCACCTTTTCATTGATATATGTTATTGTTATTATAGAATTTTGAGTTAAGGATTGTATATTAGTAAGTACTAAAATATATTGCATAAGATTTTATTTCATGCTTGCTAGAACCAAATTAGTGCGGATGCGTAGATCAAGAAATTGTTAAATTTATTGAACAAAGTAGGAATTACTACTTTGTAGGAAGACTAAATCTCCATTTTAACCGCATCTGCCGCAATTGTAGTGAGGGCGTTGAAAGTGCCTTCCGCCTGCTTTGCTTCTGTCAGGCGTTAGGTGCTTTCTTTTTTGAGGATCGTTGCAAACTTTAGAATCTTTCTTTGAATACCATCATAAGTTTGCCAAAGGTTCTAGATGGTTTCAACTCTTGGGTTTTTAATAATACGATAGCACAATGGGCCTATAGGCCTAAGTGGATTCCCATGGAATCGCCGGTATAATTTAACGTAACCTAAGTAGGAATTCAGTACTGTGCCCAGCCCTGTGCCCACATCCCACTTGAACTCAAATAATGGTCACGGATTATATAGTGAGCAGTTCATCTATTAATTTCAGTTTCAATACAAGTTGTCGATATGAATATTTCAGTTCTGGATTGTTAAGTAAAACAAAGTCGGCATAAGGAAATCTATAACCTAACCTAACGTACAGTTTCATAAGTATCGATAGGTGTATTTCAGTTCTGGATTGTTAAGTAAAACAAAGTCGGTAATCTGTTCAAATATTTTAGATTTGATGTATTAAATTCTTATGAAAATCAAATAGAAAAGTTTTATTATTATTTATAAAGATTTTATATGGGAATTTTTGCTTAAAGTGCTGTATCTCCACTTCATGTTGTAAATTCCTCCTGGTGAAATGTTGGCAGACGGAAACACCTGCTTAAGTTGTTTGTGTGCGAATATGGAAGCGTGTAGTTTTTGTTTTGATGCTCCTTTGACCATCGCTTTCAGTAACCAACAGTAATACATAAAAAATATAATGTAAACAATACGGAAGTGAGGTCTTGTAAGCTGGAACATAAAAACACTAACATAACAACAGCCAACGTCAAGCAACACAGAAGAAAGCAACACTGAAGAAAGCAAGGAACACTAAAAAGAAAAAGAAAGTAGAGAAATGTTAACAACAATTTTGACCACTTCAGCATTTGCTGATGGCATCAAAAAGTGCTTTTGTGCATTTTTACATGAAAGCAGCCAAAAGAAAAATGTTTTTAAAAGACATGAAAAACGGTGGTGAACAACACAAAATGGTTAAAAAATATGCAAATGTCTTTGTTTCCGTTTCCTTTATAGGAGAAATGCATTTGGAATGTTTTCATTCTTGCTTTTGGTGTGCAATGCATACGCTTTTTGGTAGCAAATTAACTGAAACTTTAATAAGCAAGAAAAATAAATGCATTCCATTAAATTGTGGTAAGACAGGATTTTCTTCAAGAAGGAATGAGAAGATGAGAAGATTATTCCTTAAGTGGGATTAAGTGATAAAATTCAAACAAAACAAAAAAAATGAACAGTAAAAAATTATAATGAATTTCTTAAAATGTATTTCTGCATGTGTCGTCGGAAAAAAATTCTCATTACTGCACTTTTGTAAAAATACTAAATTATTTAACATAAAGAAGTGCTGTAATTTACATTTTTAATATGTAAAACTGTTAAGTACCAAAATTTTTTGTTGGTAAAATAAATGTGGATGCGATGGTCTTGTCATGGAAATGCAGTTACCACTGGAATGTGGTAAAAACACATCTCACTGCAGCCTTTGTCATCTGCGTATTAAAGTTGATGATTAAATGACAACAA